ATATCCTTTAACTTTACGTTCCGCTATATAGATGATGTTCTCTCACTAAATAATACAAAATTTGGTGACTATGTTGAACGAATCTATCCCATCGAACTAGAGATAAAGGATATTACAGATACAGTTAAGTCTGCCTCATATCTTGACTTACATCTAGAAATTGACAATGATGGTCGGTTGAAAACAAACCTTTACGACAAAAGAGATGATTACAGCTTCCCAATTGTGAACTTTCCATTTCTATGTAGCAACATTCCAGCAGCGCCTGCATACGGAGTATATATTCCCAATTGATACGATATTCCCGGGCTTGTATTTCCTATCATGATTTCCTTGATAGAGGATTGCTGCTCACAAGGAAGCTATTAAACCAAGAGTTCCAAATGGTTAGGTTGAAATCATCCCTTCGTAAATTTTACGGACGCCATCACGAGTTGGTTGACTGTTATGAAATAACCGTTTCACAGATGATGTCCTTATGTCGTAACTACAATACCCTTCCCTTTTCACGAATGTGACCTACCGAATTAGACTATTTACCGGATTTGTAATAACATAAGCAACACGACGGGTGCCACAGGATCTGCTTACCCTTCTGGAGCACCTGAGATCACCCCCAGTTTTTTGTGGGGTTCGTGTTGCTTAGTCTTTAGATTTCTATGTTGTGTCATCTGTACTTTATTTGTCTGTTTGTCTTTTTATTTTTGGCCATGGCGTTGTCAGTTTATTTTTCGATCTATGAGTTTGACTGTCCCTCTTGTATCTTTCGTCCCTCTTTTATGAACATTTGACGGATGTGATTTGTTAGATTAAGAAAATCTGTAAAACAAAATACCACAATAAATCATGTGCTCAATAATGTCAGATTAAGCACCAAGAGAGGTTTGATAAAGCCACCACTAATTCCAAAATTTTGAAAATAAAGTTAAATTGAAATTTTGGCATCAAAGAGAGCTTTATCATATACTCTCCTTTGCTTGAACTGACATTATTGAGTTCAATTCAAGACGAAGTAAATGTTTATAGCGGTATACACCCTGTATAACCCTACTAGAGGACATCTGTCATGAAGTTATCACTTAGTTTTACTATAAAATCAAAAATGATACTGAAGGGAATATATGGCAAGTATTATAATCCTTTTCAACAACAAACACAGTTTTGATCCTCAAGGTGTACCATCAACATGCTACAATGCATATTGTTTAGTGTTGCATTCCTCGAAGAAGCTAACGAATTAAATCTTGGGGAATGATGTAAGGATCTTGACAGTGTAGGCGATGCTTCTAGGTTTCACAGAACCATGGGTTCAAATCCCGCTGTTGCGTGGACAAAGATTCGTAATAGCAATTTTTTCATAACAGCTTTATTGGGCTTAATTTGAAACGAAAGATTTGCAATCTGAAGTTTTATCCTTTTGTACCCTGAATTAATCCAATGGATAATGTCTGTCGTTAAGTAATCATATATAGTGAAGTACATTATAGAATAAAATCGATGTGACAGCATCAAAGAATTGGAGACGGTATATAAATAACACATAGCTGAAAGGGTGATAGAGCAGATTGTTACCCCGAGAAAACATTGTCGATTGAGGCGAAGCCAAGGTTGACAATGTTTATTCGAAGGGTAACAATCTGCTCTATCAGCGTCTCAGCTATGTGTTATTTGATTTATTATACTGAATGTTTTGCCATTATTGTCTTTTAAGTTTTAGTTTGAGAGTAGTTATCTATGATGTCATGTACATAACAACGTTACATATTTTAGAAAAACGACAAAAGTAAAGCAAGATGTATCTTTATTTATAGTCTATGAAAAAGTTCTGAGGCCAAAACGTATAACTTGAGCATTGTCTTGAAAAATATTGATGTAAATTCAATTTATTGTCCTTTAAATTATCGATTTTGATTGGTCTGCGTCACATTCAAAAATTGTCTCCCGCTGAGCCATAGGATAGAGTAAATTATCTTCCTCGTATTAGCCAATCAAAATCTGGCATTTTAATGTGAAGCATAATAGACTAAAATAATCACTGTTTCTGTATTAGAGAATTTATAAGACGTAGTGGATTCGTAAACGATAATCAACGAGCAACGCTGGTCGCAAGTTGATCATCGTTTCCGAATCCACCACTTCTTATAAATTCTCTAGCTTAACCCATTTCTAGTAAAACGACTGTCTGATTTACGTTTTGACAATAAACCAACGGATTTTCATAAATATAATTTCGTATTTTGTCTTTTTTATTCTATAATAGTTGGAAATGATTATATCCACACGGTTCACATCTATATTTATACATTCGACAAGTTAACATAAGTTTGATATAACTTAAATGGGGTGTTAGCTTCCTTTTTTAACACCAAATTTCATATTGGTTAATAAATATTTCATTTATAATGTTTAATCATTACAAATTATTTAAATTTAAGAGATTTTGGTATTTTTGATTTATTCAAAAAAGCATATATTGATATACAGAATTTATTTATCTTGTTCTGAAAAGTTTAAGAATTTTAATTACCAAAATTTAGAACCTTTGAAATTTATATATTATATATAGTATTCAGCAAAATTTATGATATTGTCAGAGGGCGTGCTACCAATGTGCAGTACTAATCCAAATCTATAAGGTTAGCGCATCTTCCGTATACCTACCGTTTCATATAGCTACATTTCATTTTGCTTTCCAAAATAAATAAACTTATGTGCAAACGGTTTTATTTGAACAATTATATATAAATGTTGTTTAAACTGTTTCCGTTTCATTAAGTTTAGATTATTTTAGCGTTATTACATTTGGCATCCATCGTCAATCAGTCAATAAGCTAGTATAATCTTTGGTACGCCTCCCCGAATCCCGAGCAAAATTGCTCCTGCTACAGATGTTTAAGTATGTTAATTTTTTTTTAAATTTCAATCAAGCTGTTCATAACTGTGATGGTTTAGTCGTTGGTAATGAAAGTCATAGCGGTGACATTAACAGTACGGAGTGCAAACCTAGTACCCAGAATGAAATTTTTTCATCTTTAATTTTTTCTCGACCAATCAATTTAATCTTAGGGGTATTATATATTTCATTTTCATATAATGATGAACAAACCAAGACATAATATATATTTCATAGATTACAAAAGTTAATCATCAATGAGACAGAAATCCAGTTTATTGACATGTTTTGACAATTAAGCGTTTTAAGAGTATAATTTAAATATTGATTTATGTCAGCATTCGTGGTATAGTGGTATCATGCATATACTGAAGACTGTAACGATTTACGATGAAAATACGCACGAGTTCGAACCTTTCATATGAAACTCGATTTTGAGAGGATAGAAGATCGTAAGTTAAAAGTTAAAAGTTATAATATAAGTTTTCTTAAGTTAACACTGTGGTCAGTGGATTCTTAAAAAATAATCTAAAGTAAGAACTATAGACTGACGTCAGAGAAATGGGTCAATGTTTCTGGATCCTATTTTTTATAATGTATTATCTGATATATCATGATTCAAGTATGACGATTCTTTACGGGCTAAAACATAATGATCTGCAAGATTGACGATCTTTATGCAACAATATAGCTTGTACAATATATTGTGTTATAAACCTAGTTGACATGACAAGGAAAGATTAATGAAAGCTTAATTTGTACCCAGTCTGCCTAGTATTCTACGAAGCGAGGCGAAATTTAGTGCAGACAACGTTGCCATGAAGACATGGAAGCATGGGATAAAATCCTGCTAAGTGAAGTACAAAATTTTCTGCAGCATAATAAAGGCAACAGTAGTATACCGCTGTTCGAAAACTCATAAATCGATAGAGATAAAAACAAATCCGGGTTAATCATAATAACAAAACTAACATTGTTTAACTAAATTCAGACGAAACTAATTTTAGCAATGAGGATTGCCTTGTATAACCGGATCAGGAAGAGAAAGTCTGTCATAAAGTTGTGGCATATATATATAATGACGTATAAAATAAGGGTATATTGAATAGAGTGCAAGTTTATTTTTATAATCCTTTTTGAAATACAAACGCAGATGAATCCTCAAGGTATTCCATCGTCCTACCACAATAAATCATGTGCTGTGTAAAAACACTTTAATTCTTAAGACACAACTTCCAATCTGCAAATTTTATCGGGGTCCTTTTGGGATAAATTGCTGTTTGAGCATTGAGACAAAAAAACATTTACAAATTGTATGAAAGTCTGTCATAAAGTTGTGGCATATATATATAAAGACGTATAAAATAAAGTTATATTGAATAGAGTGCAAGTTTATTTTTATAATCCTTTTTGAAATACAAACGCAGTTGAATCCTCAAGGTATTCCATCGTCCTACTACAATAAATCATGTGCTGTGTAACAACACTTTAATTCTTAAGACACAACTTCCAATCTGCAAATTTTATCGGGGTCCTTTTGGGATAAATTGCTGTTTGAGCATTGAGACAAAAAAACATTTACAAATTGTGTATTGAAACATTTTAATAGAGAATTCCCAAATGGAAAAAAGCCGGGTTATGGCTATGGCAATTCGAACGTACCCGTAGTCATTTGTTACACAAATATTTCAAAACGGTCAATTAAATAACGACGGATTCAATTAAATTTTAAATAGGTTGTTTGCAAGGACGATTTTCTTCGAGAAATGCTTTTGGATTTTCCTCTCATTATCTCTTTCCTTTCATATGGTCATGATTATAAATTTACTGTTTATAAAACTTTGGGTTTGTTTCGAAATACTTAGGATTTTCTACCCCCAGGAATAGATTACCTTAGCTGTATTTGACAAAACCATTCAGAATGTGAGGTCCTTAATGCTCTTCAACTTTAAATATTTTTATTCGAGCGTCTCTGGTGAGTTTCTTGTAGACGGAAACGCGCGTCTGGCGTACAAAAAGTAATCCTGGTAACTATGATGAGTTTATTCAGTTAAACTGCACAATCTTACAAAATTATCTACTTATGCAAGAATAGGATAATACTCACATTGGGCTAAATATTTTAACTGCTTCGCCTACAAAACATATGTTAGATACCTGTATAATTGATTTAAACGGTTAATGTTTTATTATACTCTATTCACTAGAAGATAAAAATTAATGAGAGTAATAAATGTTTTTTTTTTTATTTATGTTTGTTTGCAATTTTATTTGTACTCTCATTATCAATAGCTAAAATGTTACACATTACATTTTCATTGCGTGGTAAGGAATATTTCTCTTTGTTTATAGTATTCTTATTTTGAGTACCTTTTTATCATCTAATCAAGTATGGACTGTATACCTTATGTATATGTAAAACAGCTCTTTCTGTAGGCATATATGCAGCGCTAAAATTTATTAAATATGATCCAGGATTATTATTTAATTGTGGTACGGAAGCAACCTATAGCGCAAAGGCGTGTGTTAACACTGTTTTAATAAATCTTGGTGTCTTTTAACATACACGTATGCGATCAAGGACAGGAATTACAGCTATAGCGCTATTTGAAAAAGATGAAAATTAGATTTAGACTTTTGTACGCACATTTTTACATTACATGACGGTATGCACAGCTTCAGTTGGCTTTACTATTTTTGTTTTAGTTTTTATGTTTTTGATTTAAGTGTCATTGCTTTCTTGATATATTATAATATGTTGGTTACCTTTTCTGTCATTGTTTCCAAATCGTGTTTCATTCCTTATTTCAAATTATTTATCAAAATATTGAATATGCGAAAAAATCACTCATGGGAAAACACGTACTTCTTCGTTTATTTTCAACATTGTTATTAGCAGTTGTTACTCGGTTAACCGAATAATCATCGAAAACATCGCAGCAGGTAAGATTTTTCTGCTTAGTGAACTTCACAAATCCTTTTGAAAACAAAATGGATATTGCATGACGATGATTTTATCTTAATCCTTAATATATCAGGTGATTTTTGAGAGAAAGGAGAAGCAATAATATGGTCATTTTATGTCTGTATTTCGAAAAACGAAAGTATTATAAACATATCAAACAACGTCACTCAAATGTTAACAAGACATTAGGCTGACAGATATCAGTATCAATATTTTTTCAGTTTTTCCTTACCTACTTGATCCAGAGCTTTAAGTTACTTGAATTTTATGCAAAACTGCAAGATCGGCCAATATACCCTGAATCTGAGATCTTTTTATCAATCCTTACTTATGAACAAAATCATATATTTTGCTACAAAGATGTTAATGCGGGTAAACAATATATTTAAAAAATTGCTTGGCTCATAACGAATTTAAACAAACACTTTATATAGAGCGACCGTTTTGGCTAATATACAATGTTTATAACTAAAGGCAACAGTAGTATACCGCTGTTCGAAATTCATAAATCGATTGAGAAAAAAAACATATCCGGGTTACCAACTAAAACTGAGGGAAACACATCAAATATAAGAATAGAACTACGACACAACAGAAACACAACATTGAAATGTAACACACACAGAAACGAACTATAATATAACAGTGGCCATTTTCCTGACTTGGTACAGGACATTTTAAGAAAAAAATGATGGGTTGAACCTGGTTTTGTGGCTGGCCAAACCCCCCACTTTTATGGCAATGTTAAATATAACATTAAAATGACAACATTACATGACAGGACTACAATAAAAATAAATGGGAGAACATATAGGACAGAGAAACATACGAATAATAGCTAACAAAAGGTACCAGGTTTAAATTTTAAGACGCGCGTTTCGTCCACACAAGACTAACCAGTGACGCTCAGATCAAAAAAGTTCGAAAGCCAAAACAAGTACAAAGTTGAAGAGCATTAAAGACCAAAACTTCCAAAAAGTTGTGCCAAATACGGCTAAGGTTATATGTCTGGGATAAGAAAATCCTTAGTATTTAGAATAATTCATACTTTTGCAAACAGTAAATTTATACAAATGACCATATAATGGATATACATGATAACACCGAAGTGGTGACTAACTACAGAATAAAAACGGATACATAAAAAAACATAAACCAGCACATAAAATTTCACAGCCGAGCTAGCCAAAGAGATCAACGCAAAAAAAAAAGGTGACGTCACATTTGAATTTCTGAAATTTCCTCAAAATAGGATAGAATTAGGATAGAATTTAAGATTTGGTTTAAAATACTCATATAACATTTATTAATAACAATGAAAATTAACGTTATGGTAACATTACAATTGACTTTTCAGAATTGAAGTGTCTAGATTTTATAATCTATTCATTTATCAGTAGAATCAGCATAGTTTGCAAGGAAAGAAGAATTTTACTATTTACTTTTCAATTTCAGGGTCAACTAAAATGGCTCTTATCATACCTCGTCTTTACTAAATGTTGTCGGGATTTTATAACTGTAAAAGACTATTAAAGGACGGTTATAATTTTTTATTTGCCAGAGTTTTTATATAAATATTTTGCAAATTACTTGCTATTGTTCATCTTTCTCAAACAAATATACACAGCGGTTTGTGTTCGAACTTGCAGACAAAGCAGCCAACCATGTGGTGACGTAAATACAACACATAAGTTCTTAAGACTGACATGGTAAGTTTTTTTACATTTAGGTCCTTGTGCTCCACAGTGAGTCATATAATAAACAATCATATTATGACCACATCTCAGCTTAAGGCTTCTTGTGAACATTTATTCCAATGTGAACCAACTGTGCCCCTCTTCTTGCCGACTTGTTTCTTAATTATTATGAGGCTGACTTCATACAGGAACTTCTTAGGAAGAAAGATAATAAGTTAGCAATATCCTTTAACTTTACGTTCCGCTATATAGATGATGTTCTCTCACTAAATAATACAAAATTTGGTGACTATGTTGAACGAATCTATCCCATCGAACTAGAGATAAGGATACTACAGATACAGTTAAGTCTGCCTCATATCTTGACTTACATCTAGAAATTGACAATGAGGGTCGGTTGAAAACAAAACTTTACGACAAAAGAGATGATTTCAGCGTCCCAATTGTGAACTTTCCATTTCTATGTAGCAACATTCCAGCAGCGCCTGCATACGGAGTATATATCTCCCAATTGATACGATATTCCCGGGCTTGTATTTCCTATCATGATTTCCTTGATAGAGGATTGCTACACACAGGGAAGCTATTAAACCAAGAGTTCCAAATGGTGAAGTTGAAATCATCCCTTCGTAAATTTTACGGACGCCATCACGAGTTGGTTGACCGTTATGGAATAACCGTTTCACAGATGATATCGGATATGTTCCTTATGTCGTAACTACAATACCCTTCCCTTTTCACGAATGTGACCTACCGAATTAGACTATTTACCGGATTTGTAATAACATAAGCAACACGACGGGTGCCACATGTGGAGCAGGATCTGCTTACCCTTCCGGAGCACCTGAGATCACCCCCAGTTTTTTGTGGGGTTCGTGGTGCTTAGACTTTAGTTTTCTATGTTGTGTCATCTGTACTATTGTTTGTTTGTTTTTTGGTTTTTGGCCATGGCGTTGTCAGTTTGTTTTCGATCTATGAGTTTGAATGTCCCTCTGGTATCTTTCGTCCCTCTTTTAAAGGTCCCTACTGTATATTTGTTACCTAGACAACTATTCGGGAACCTCGTTCATCAATTTATATAGTTTGTTTTCATTATTTTCACAATCAGTGTATGTGTTCTTAACCTGGGAGGATTATACATCTTAAACCTGTGTAAAAAGTAAAATAAAAAAATACCGAACTCCAAGGAAAATTTTAAACGGAAAGTCCCTTAACAAATGGCAAAATCAAAAGCTCAAACACATCAAACGAATGGAAAACAACTGTTATATTCCTGACTTGGTACGGGCATTTCCTTATGTAGAAAATGGTGGATTAAACGTGGTTTTATAGCTAGCTAAACATCTCACTTGTATGACAGTGGCATAAAATTCTATAATATTGACAACAATGTGTGAGCAAAACAAACAGACATAATAGGTAAAAATATTACCTAAATAAATTAGGGTACAGCAGTCAACATTGTAATACATCTAATTATCGAAAATGTTGTTACCAATTTTCTTTCTCATACGTATCTGAACAAAACTGCAAAGTCATTACGGAACCAATGAACATTTTCGTATAGACGTCATCTTTGACACAATGTGTGGCTTACCACAGAGTTAGTTACATTTATAACATTGAATGTGATGCCTTCAAACTGCTCATCACATATTTGAACTCTTTCTCTGTGAAATACTGGAAATTTAACTGTTCTTAAAATTACAAAATTTTCTCACATTCAGTTATATTTGACATTACGTTCATAATAACATTTATTCGGCTCATTGTGACATTGTTATTTTTTCAGCTTTTTACCATTTGTCAAATTTATTCATAGATTAAAGTATCAGCACCTGCCTGTCTACACTTATCCTGACGTGGAAATACAACGAAGCATAGTTCGTAATTGTTACTCAACAATACGCAGCACTGAATGTGTGTCCAATGCAGCAAACCAAAGAAGTTGTGGCAACGATGGCGACATTATATTTTAATAGTACAAACTGTTAGTTAATTAAAAACACGTAGAATGACAAGAAGGAATCGAGCGTCCGGAAAAAAAAATCCAAGCAGGAGCGGAATTCCAAGTAGATGCTGTACAGCCAGTAAAAAATCCCGAGACTAGGCAATTATGTGAACTCATTGAACTGGAGTACGACGACAGTCAAGGGCTGAGGGATCTTCCTGACGAAACTGAAGACAAACTCCAACGTGTACAAAACTTTGTTAACTAAAATCTGAATTCTGCAGTCGTGCCAGAAGCAACCGGCATGCGTGAATCTACACATACATAAAACATAGCTAGTCTGATTCATAATGCGCATGAGTTTGTTCCAGCTTAGGATAGAGACTCTCTATTACAAGAACCTGCTGCTTCACCTGCAAATGCTACGTCACCAGAAGTTACTTTTTTCCTAGATCTGGGAACAGTAACGAACAAACAAAAAACAGAGCGTTTCAGAGGAGATCCCCGTCGCTCACCAATCAACACCCGTGATTCAAACTTCCATGCCTACCAATAACAATCATTATATCAATCCGTCATCGGATATAACAAGATTTCTCCTGCGTAAGGACCTGCTGATGTTCAGGTTAACAAACTTCCATGACCGGGCTGAATCTTTTCACGCATGTAAAGCCTGTTTCAAGAACGTCAGGGAAGAGTAACCAGTTTCAGACTCGAAACAGATAAACCTTATGATCAAGTGGCTAGGACAAGAGTCTGTCAAACATGCCATTAGTAAGAGGGCGTCGAACGCCAACAACCAAACAAAAAATCTACAAAGAGTATGGCAGATACTTGACGAGCGGTATGGTGCTCCAGAAATGTTGGAGGCGTCTCTCGTGAATAAACTTGTCAACTTCCCAAAGATGACTAACAAGGACAAGTAACTTCTTTATGAATTGTCTGATATTCTATCAGAAATGAAATATCACAGGGAAAATCCCAAGCTGACATGTTTGCTTGCTTACTTCGACTATTCGGAATAAAACAAATGGTGTCAAAATTGCCTTATGGACTCCAAGAAAAGTGGATAAACAGGGCTTCAAGATATACGTCCAAATACGAACTTGCCTTTCCGCCTTATACGGAATTCTCTGCATTTATCAGAGAAATAAGCAATATCAAGAACGATCATGGATTCATCATCGAATTGGAAGTCACACTAGCTACAAAAGGTGCTGCACCAAAGTTCACACCTCAGATGC